GATATATTTTGTCAAATTTTTATGATATCTTCAAACATATATTTTATTCAAAAATAAAAAATCATCGTTTTCTCAAAATCACATAAAGTCATATTATAACATCGACTGAGATAAAGAATAAAATAAAATATTAAAATCACGATGTATCTTGTTGCATTGTGCGAGTACGCTTCTAGTGTGTATATATATATAACAAATCAAATGCAACTCATGAAAAAGTTACAAATCATACAAACCAATCAATTAAGATATATATGAAAATGGTGAAGGTTCGTTTATTATGTTTTAAATACTTATAGAAAATAACTAAAGTTCATTACTTATATTAAGAAACAATCGATATATTTATGAAACCAAATATTCATTAGATTAGATAGACGGTTGATACCAGTTTGTAACAATTTCATGATTTGTATTTGCTTTGTCCTATATATATAAACACCTACACACAAAAAGTCATGTGAGAATATGAGTTAATGTAAGAAGTATAAAAATAGATTTAGACCCTTCATCACTTTTGATCCCAAAACAACTGATGAATTTCATTTTAAAAAAGAATTGATCTAATATTTCTTTTCAGTTACCTACCATTCTACTATATATAACTTGTTAGTTATGTTTTATATCAAACTATATGCTAGTGATATGTTTTTAACTAGATAAATATCATATCTTAAATTATCGTTAAAAAGTAATTGACTTTTTAAATAAGTTGAAACCATAAAAATTAAATTTTAATATGTGTATTGAGACACCAGTAATAAATACTGATTCTCTCAATATTTATAAGAGAATCAGTATTTATTAGATGTAAGTTGAAATGTCAAAAAAGTTATGTTTTTATATACATCACATGATTTTATACAAATAACTGCCTCATAATATGTTGTAAGAAAGTAAAATTGGTGTTATATGTTCAAATATTAAATTTATTTTAATAAAGTTTAGTTATATTTATCCATTTATTTGTTATAATTTATTGATAATTATGCCGGTGTGGTTCTGATTTTTTATAAAATAAAGTACTTATGTCATTATTGTATCACATTTAAGTCTTGGGACACAAATGTACGGGTAAAGTTGCAATACATGATTGAATATATTTATTATCGTCGGTAATCATTAATATTCGGGTCATTTTTGTTTTTGTTTTTTTTAAACTATGGGTATCCGAGGTAGCTTACGGCACATCGACTAATCCTAGAAGTCCTAGAGAACGCCCCACAAAAATCCCCTGTAGCCTTGCACGATTCAAACCAGTAACCTCTAAGGAAGAAGCTTTATTGTCAGTTGAGCTAACTCGACAAAAATCACCAACAATAGATAATAATAATCGAATAGATATTTTATTTATGCGGGATGGATGTCACAAGTCTTACCAAAAAAACACGATTCGCATGAATAATGAGGCCTGATGGTGGGGTTATCATCAATGAATGTGCCATCCTCTAATAATTCTAAACGAGATAGAAATACTGTTCATTTTATTTATTTATTTATTTATTTTAATTAAGTCCAAAAAATCATATGTTTATTGTTATGTATGTAACATACGTATATTCATTTTTTATTTGTAGTCTGATACATAAAAGAATACAAGTTTTTTCGAATAAGCAGAAATGATATGACTTCTGATACCATATCTAGGTATTATGAGGTTTAGGGGATGTTCGGTTGCGGCTTAATGGGTTGTATTAGCCCATATGACTTATTTATACAATCATATCTAGTTGTTCGATATGGGCTTATTCTGTTAGACCATGGCTGAATTGTTCAGATCAAGAATAACATTAGTACTTTAGCCCCAGCCGTAATAATTTCCCATCTACCCTTGTACTAAAAAGCTACTTTTTCACAAGTGAAAACAAAAGCTACTCAAGATAAAAACCCTACTTCTAGAACCGCTCTCACAAACAGCCGTTTTATATGAATTGGTGCTCCTGTCGCCGGTGCTTCTCCATTGCCGGTTAGACTTTCTTCTCTCATCAGATCCATCACTCCCTGAATCAAAGAAATCGAGATCGATTGATTCCTCCTTGAATCAAAGAAATCTCGATGCATCCCTGAAACACCCTCTCAAATCGGCCCTTTTCTTCTCTGTAATCGATCTGCTGCTTCTTTGAAATCGATATGGTCCTCTCAGATCGATGTGCTCCTCTGGAATCGATTTCTCCTCCTTGAAATTGAGCTTCTCCCCTCGTTCTTTGCTTCTCTTACTTTCTCGATTTCTCGACGATAACAAGTAGGTGTTGTTGCTGCTAGTAATTTCATTCACGGTGTTTGGTGATAGGCATGAACAAAAAGAGTACCATAGTCCACAAGTACGAGTTTAATGGGGGAAAAACCAATTGTAACAAAAGGAGTTAACCATCAACCAAACATATTTAAGACTGTTTTTTTGATCTATATTAAACATTTTAAATGGTTATTTTATTTTAGACCTAAGTATAAACTGAAGAGTAAAATAATCATTTCTCACATTCAGACTGTTTATTCAGCACATCAATCGAACAACAATTTATCTATTTATGTATTTTTCGTCTTCTATTTTCGTATTTCTAAAAATATGTAACAAAAAGTTAAACCAAATTATTCTAGTCACCATATTTGGTTAATTTAGAATTATTAGAGGATGGAAGTAAAATTTGACTTTCTATGCTTGATATGCTACACATATACAAAAATATGCTCTATGAACATTTTATTACACAACTATGCTCTACGAACATTTTATTACAAAAATAGGATCTACCGACATTTTATTACAAATTTGCTCCGATTACAAAAATGCGCTTAACTACTAAATGACTTTGGTAAGTTTCGAGGTCAAAAGATAGCAAAACCTGCAAATTTTGGGCATCCAAGAGGTTCCAAACATGGGTTGTGGCCAAGGTCGCCTAATCCACTGGAGCAGCCATCTGATGCGAGGAACAGGCAAGAGAGCCAAGCAAATTGGCTGCAGCATGAGACGCACACGAGGTACAGGCGACTTGGCCCACGACATAAGTAACGGCGAAGGTCAGGAGCACCGATCCAGATCGGTTTAATGACCCTTTGCATACTATGATCACCATTTAACTAACATTTGCATATTCCCTCTATATTTGAAGTCTCATCCAAAAAAAGAGAACGATGATGACCGAAATAACTTGATTCAATTTACAGTTGCATACCGTTTAAAATACCGAAAACAAAAAGACAAAAGCAAAAGAATTATACAGATTTTAGCAGCTCTACACCCAACCCATCCATGTTCGTCAATCAAAAACGTCATCTTGTGCATAACCCACTTGTACAATCCGTATCCATACTGCAACGAGCATACAAGGGAACATGCATGTTCTCCGCTCCACAAGCTCTCGAGCCTTTCTTTCTTTTTGTACGTACTTGCCAAGAAGACTAAATCCTTTTCCGAGTCAAAACTCGAAAAATACTGTTCATCAAGGCTTTCTCTTCTCCACTTTTACATGAATATTGAACCACTTCTTCTTGGTTCCATCCTTTATCGATGGTGTCTTTTTATGATCTTTTATTTGATGCCCGTCTTCTTTCAAAACAACTCGTTTTTTACTTCTACTGCTACCGCTGCTACCACGTTTTGTTTGTGGGGTACTTGTGTATGCAGCATGTATTTCATTTCTTTGTTTAAGAAGGTCATCGATCTACAACGGGCAAATATAAACCATAAATCTTGGCGGAAATGCATAACTAAGAGAACATTGTTGCTATTTGAACCCTTTTTAAGTCAAATCAGAACAATGAAAATGTAAAAAGAGACATATAGGACTAAGGGCCTGTTTGTTAGCGGCTTAATGAGCTTAACGAGACTCGCAACTTATTAGGTCAACTATACATGATTGTTTGGTAGTGTCTTAATGATATAGAAAGTGGCTTATTCAGTAAGCTTTTAGGGGGAACCTTTATGCAGAAAGACAAGTTTTTTTTTTCAAACAGGTACCTCCCAATTAAAAACGTGTTATTTCCATAAAGAATCCTTCCAAATAAAAACCTTCCCAGTATATGTAGATAGATTATATCATACAAACATCTTTATCCCTAGGGTACTTAATGGAAAATCAACCAAAGAAACCTAAGGTTCATTTAGGATCCCTTTAAAAAAATTTGCACATTTTTTTGCATATGATAAGGATGTGCTTTTCAACTACTGCACACATTACCATTTGTACATAACCTTAAGGGGGTAAAATTGTCTTTTGAGGAAAGTTTTGCTAGGTGCTTTTGCAACTATTTCTTCCCCTATTAGAAGATGCTTTACTCAAAGGTGATGAAAGAGAGATTTTCCTTAAGAAGACAGTTTTACCCTTTGAAAATATTTACAAATGGTACCATGTGCAGCATTTAAAAAGTAGTTATCACATCCAAAAATAAAATTAGGATGTTAAAGGGACCACAATCTAGTGTTCATTTGTGCATTTATCCCAAGCTAACGAGTGATATGAACCCAAAGGCACACGGGTTACCGGAAGATCCCAACCTTCTTGGAGGTCGGGGTTCAAGCGAGAGTTTGTGAGTTTTTCCGTATTTAACTATTATATACTTCAAAAAGAAAAAAAAAATACTCACCGCTTGCATTTCTTGATCGTATCTGCTTGTCATCTCGGTGAATTGTGAAAGAACCTGGGGAATAAAAAGTTACATAAAGGCAGAGAAATAGAATATTTAGGCTAACCTGATTCTGTAAACCAACCTGTCTATATTCAGTTTCAAATTTAGAGATTTCCGTCCGTTTTGAAGAAATCTGAGCTTCAATGGCACGGAGATTCTCCTTCTCGTTTACAAAAGAAGCTGCACAAAGGACTTCAATTGTGTAGCTAGCACTTTTAAAGAAATTGTCGCCTACACGAATATTAAAGGGTAGGGTCAGCTACACATATTTGCAGATAGAACCAACAAAAGGATTTAAGACATATTCATATATCTAACCATAAACAGCAAATGTATGAAATCCAGCTTTTAATTCGGTAATTTCACATGGCTGAAACCCTTCTAGCTTTTTGAAGAAAGCAGTATCTGGATCCCTCTTAGCTGCCGTCTGGAGCCAACTCAAAAGTACATCAAAGAGAAGATAAAAGAAGCTGAAGCGAAAGATAGCTATGTGGCTCAACATTTACTCACCGTGCTAGATGGTGGTTCCAATCTATAGACCGGGAAACCAAGGAAATACATCCCGGCAGCCGTCACCTTTCCTTTTTTTGCACTATCTTCCTGAAATTAGAAAGGCAGGCCAAGGTCACAAAAGAAGAAGCTTTTTATTTTGTATCACGAATAATTGCTTGATTCTTCTAAAAGGACATCGTTCAAGATTGTTAAACTTAAATCTGTTTGATGTAAACAAGTTTATAGGAGAACATCTATACCTGCAGAGCGAGATTCAGTCCACCATTTTCATCCTGATCAAAATACAAAAGCTGCAAAAATAAAAAACCGAATAGTTAAATTATGAATATTAAAATAAATAGGAAATATGATTAGTTCTTAAAGTTTACTAACAAATAGTGTCTTGCTAAACATTTTATTCATAAATTTATGAATGAGCAATTTCAGGTTGCTTTTTCTGCATTTGCTTCGCCATAAGAGAGCATTGTGTTGATGAGATCACTTTATAATGAAATATCAAGATAATAATAACAGTGTTTATATGATTCATGTAACTATTGCATGAACTGTTGGTGATTTTAGTGTCATCAAATATTTGGTGAAATTGTGATTTACTTGAGATCGATTAAAGTGATAAGGCAAATAAAATGAGTTAGGAGGTGCGGAGTGCACGTTCACAAGTGTTGTCCCTATCACCTTAGATTGCCGAAAGGCGGGAGTCAAGGGGGAAGTGCCCCTGGCGGTTGGAAACCTTCTTGAAATTGTTCCCGAAATTGGTAAAAATTTGATTAGGGGACGTTTACCAAACACTTACCCGGGTAAGCGCTTACCAAGTCACATTACCTATCGGATGAATATGACAAGGACCAAATCCTATCCATTAAAGGTTATAACTTTCATGCAGTTATGTCTTAACCGTTTAAACCGCTTGTAATCGTCGATCTCTCATGTAAATACATAAAATGTGATCGGGTGAATATATATACATATACATACACACACACACACACACATATATACGAATTTGTGCCTTAATTAGTATATGAATTTTTCTGGATTATCCCAGTACTAATTTCGTTCAAAACCAAGGCACTATAGGGACGAAATATAGTATTTGGAAAGTGTCTTTCCATACACAATCCAGAAATCTGTCCAAGCTTTATAAAACCACAAACCCAGATTCCCCAACATAAACTGTAACATCCGGAAATTTTAGGTAAGTGAAATTCTAGGTTTTGTACTTATTTTACCCTAAGAATAACAAAAATTAAGTATTTTGGAGTTTGGATGTGATTGGGTATGAAGTTAGGGGTGAAAGGAGGTTAAATAACAAAAATCATCGCTCCCTAGCCGTGAGAAACGGCCCCGGCCGTGAAACCGGGCAGCACCTCGGAGCTGGAAGGAGATGGGCGCGAGCGACCCTGGCCATGCAACCTTGGGTCGCGGCGCCGAGGTTGCGTACGGCTCTATCAATTTAAACCCGAGGGTCGCAGCGCCGAGGTCGTTTACGGCTCTATCACTTTAAATCCGACTTTTTTGCTACTTTTCCTCATTTTCTCATCTCCTAACCCTTTTCTCTCTTCATTAAATTCGATTGGTGGAAGCTTACAAGTGCATTTATTGTTCATCTCCATACATATATTAGCTTCCAAACAAGAAGATTTCAAGTATAGATTCATCTTCTCCATTTTAGAGTTCTTACCAAGTTTCTAGGTTTTCTTTAAAAACCTAGCAAGTAAGTTTTAAATGTTTTGTAAAACTAGATACATGCCTAAATGCGTTCTTTAACTTCATTTCAAGCTTTAATTTCAAGTATTACATAATCATTTGGTGATTTGGTCACATACCCATATTTGATGAGCTTTTGTGTATTTTGGGGTAAATCTCTACATTGAAAATATGATAATGATTCTTGCTATGTAATTAGTCTATTTGGAATAGTTTAAATGGAACTGTTAAGACTCTCCAGACCATACAAGTGTGCGTCGAGCCCATGCGAAGGGTTTGACCAATAGCTACACAAACGGATATTACATTTTGGCCGACCCTTACTGCTCAACCTGACAGCGGACAGCTAATGCGTTCAATAGTGGACCGGTCAATTAGTCAATTGTGGGGGGTTGGTCAATTAGTCAATAAGTGACGTTAGTTGGTTGTTGGAAGAAGTATAAATAGAAGGAAGTAATCAATTGGATGCAACCCCTGGGAGAGTTCTTGGACTCTCAAAGGCCAGAGTGTCTCATAATCATTCAGTTATGACTTTATAATCAAATCTTGCCCTAAGTTTCTTGATAATCATTAGCAACTTGTAACATGAACTTGGTTCATTATCTTGGTATTTTCATGATAATCATATTTGTTGGAATCATTGACCTAAATTGGGGACTTTGTCTTTAAATGTTAGTTTCATGATTATAGATGAGTTTATAAACTTATTTAGCAACTTCCAAACATAATGAATGGGAAGCCATCTCAATATTGATTTGTTGGACATTTTCACTTGGGATTCATGACTAGATGGACTTTCAAGTAGGCACTAAGAAGGTTGGGTCTTAAAAGGGTAGGCACTAAGAACTACTAAACTTGAGGTGCTACCTTCGAGGTAGGCACTAAATGTATGTGAGCCTTGAGGTGTTATTCATGGGAATAGACACTAAGGCCAACCTATTCTTGAGGTGAAACTTCTTAAGGGTCATTGGACTCTTGGACTCTATACTTAGATATGGACATATGGTCACCTAATACCATTGGATGAGAGGCTTACTTTTGTGTTCACGTTACTCCCAACAAATACGGGTCTTCCCCGTTGTTCCAAAAAGGATGGTATATGTGAAATGAAGAATGTACTAATATAAATTCTCTTGGTTATTAATTCGAATCCGTTTCACTATACTATGATTATTTATCTTCTTGTTCATGCTCACTAGGCTTTTTGGCCTAACACTTGTTTGGTGTCGGCATGTATCTCAGGTCCTAAAGGTGGGGTTGCTTAGGTGGTCTTCTAGCCACCTTAGGGAGCTATGGGGGAGCATATTTAGACGCCATCTATTGGAATCCTTTTTGGTGGTTTAGGCGACACCCGGCTGTAATCTTATTCTCTTAAGGAATTAGATTAGGAGGTTGTTATCCTCAACCCATTTGTTACAAATTGTAATTAACTGGTGTATTTAAGTTTCCCTTTTTGGGAAAGCTCATACTTTGATATTTATTTATCATATTTCCGGTTCTCGTCGGAAATTTTTGTTGTCCCATTTCAGGGGTGTTACATAACCCAACCCTGCATCCACCATAACCAAAGTAGACCCATGCGACTCCCCTTTCAGAAACGGATCCTAAGCCTTCTAAAGGATGGGTTTGACCGCCCCCTGGTCGTGCTTGAACTGTTTCCCCCAATACAAAAACAACATCGACTCCGCAACAGCCTGGGCCCATCTCTCTAGAATTTGCAAACCACAGCGCTATTAGTCAACACACTGTTAGGTAGCGCTATGAAGTCACGTAGTGACTAGACCTCTGTGAAATTAAAGAATATAATCGGAATTGTTGGATACAATTTGGGTTTGAAGTAAAATACATGTACTAGGATTTTTTATGGGAAACAAGAGAATTGAGAAATGTCATGTCTCCTATAGGTGAATCCAAGTCCGTTCATTCATAATTTATGACAGTTTCTATAAGTCTAAGGAGGTGCTTGTAACCCCTTCTGGTATCCAGCGCCTAATCCTCTACTAAACGGGAATGAGTTCCATTATGCCCAACCAACCATCTTTAATCAATGTCATTCCCATTCCCGACTATCTAATACTAATACCCGCCCAAGCACCCCCAAAGAGAGCATGGATCCTAAGCAGATATTTAAGAATATGCACCAGTCTAGTCGATTCTAGGGATGAACAAATAACCAAATTAGAATCAAACCTTCTAGAATTATATGGCTATTCAACAAATCGCTGCCTCTCCTTTTTGGTCCTCTCTTAAGAAAAGATCCCACCCCAAGATATCAAGCCAACCACCTCCATCAGGGGCATTTTACTGTTGAACTGGAGTGCTCACTTCCTTTCCTTTTCTTTTGTGCTTCTTGCTGCTCCTGGTTTCTTGTCTTTGGGTTGACAACGGTTCAGAATTTCTGCTTCTCCCATGAGACACAGAGCAGCACAGACAGCAATCTCCCCCAGAGAATAAACCCACCCTTTTGGAGTTTCTTTTCTAAAGGGTCATCCCCGTCTTGATGTCTTCAATGCACGATCTTTTTTATCCTTTGTATTTTTCCTTGTTGGACAAATCTTTTGGGCTGTAATCACTTTAGAAAAGTTCAACTTTGTGCCCTTCAATTCATCGTTCATATTGGAAGTCAGCAAGAATCTTCCATTTATTCCTTTGGCCAATATGGGGATAATATTGGTTGAGATTTCAGCATATTATAATTCTCTTACTGGGAGATCAAAACTGCTATAAACTACATAGCACAAAACTCAAGCAGCAGATACGGAGAGTATATACAAGTTTCTAAATGAACAAACCAGTAAATTCACAAACCTTGAACTTGCTCTTGTCTGCTGATTGCACTCGACAAACTATTCCAGCCTGTGCTTCCTTCTCTGTTATCCTAACAGAATAGAAATGAGCACACTGCTTCTCAACCTGTTCAAAAGTGCAAAATTTCATGTGAACAATCACAATGTAGATAAAAGTAAAAATAGGGAGAGTAGTAAGCTACCTTTCTAGAAACAGGTTTCCCCAAACCAAGTGGTTGGATAGTGACTGTACCATTTATTGCCTCCTCCAAGACGGTGGCAGATACAACAGTTTTTATTGGTACTCCAAGTTTGCTGTGACAATAAGCATCGGAAAGAACCTCAACTTCAGATAGTGCTAGCATAAGCAAGTGGGTTCTTAACTTAACTAGCCTTTTGTAACAAAAAAACTACAAAAATAACCTAAAAATACTTATTTTTTTCAAATAACCACCCATTTCTCCTTTAGAATTGAGAAATGAGAAATGCCCACAAATCTGATTAAAAACTGAAATTGGCTGACATTCCCCCTAGTCCATGAGAAACCAAGGTACATGGGTCACATCCACTCAACTTTTGTCACAACAATGTCAGCCAATGTCAGTTTTTAATTAGATTTGTAGGCCATTTCTCATTTCTTTTTTCTAAAGGAGAAATGGGTGATTATTTTTGAAAATAATGTATTTTAGGTTATTTTTGTAGTTTTTTTTTTCAAAAGGCTAGTTAAGTTAAGAACCCTAAGAAAATGGCCTTCAGCCTAGCAGTATTGGAGCCTTTGGCCTCCTAGGAGGTCATGGGTTCAAACCTCACCAAAGGTGAGGAGGGTGTATGAGTTTATTTGTTGCATTTGTTGTATATAAATGTTATATACTTCAAAAGAGAAAAAGAAAAAAAAGGGCAGGATCAAGAATCAGGGTGACGTCAAAAGACCTAAAGATTGCAGCAAACATGGTATTCATAGCTCCCAAACTCGAAAGATCCAGCTCCAAATCCTGGCTTTCAGCTTCAACAGCCTGAGCACAAAGCATGAATTATAAATCCATAATTCTATATTAAAGCCAATAATGAAATGGCCAAGGACAAGCATGAATCCAGAATTGGTTCCATCATTCCGTGGAATATGAAGACTTGCGAGCCCACCTCAAAACCATCACTGTCGTACTGGTGCCGTTTATCTGGATCGGACAATATATTATACGAATAAGTTATCTCCTTAAACATATCAGCTGCTTTAGAGTCATTTGCGTTTTTGTCTGGATGGTACCTAGGGACGAATACATCTATAATTAATACATGTAAGCAATAAAATTTATGCTTTTGAATCTCAAAAGTTAAATCTGTAGCTCAGTAAGGTGCCTGGCGCAAATCAAACCAAAACAAATTAAATAGAAATTCGAAAATCCAGATTATATATTTACAGGTTGTCTCATATAGTGAAAAGCATGTAGTAGTACACATGGAATAAGGTTTAAGAAGTTCGCAATGACGCAGACTAAAGGATATCAACTGAAAATTGCCAACCAAATAACAAACATACAAACATGATTGACTTGGTTGCAAATTGTTATCTTGGCTTGATTATCTTCACAATTTACTAAAAAGAAAACTCATTTATTTTGAAAAGGATAGTTCTTGAGTAAGACTTATAGCCAAGAAGCATAACCAATGAACTGTGAACAACCACTTTTATATGGACTACTTTCAGCAACAAAATTGGTGTGCTATTTGCATACTCGGTCAGAGCTAGGGGCATTTTTAGAACAAGAAGTAGTGTGAGCCCAGAGGCATGACCAATGAATTGTGAAGAACTACTTTTATATGGATTACTATCTCCAACTAAACTGGTGACTGTTATTCGCAGACAACTCAATCAAATTAGGGTATTTATAGAACAGGAATGCAAAATGCATGCATAAAACCATAATTGAAACAGATGGCCTTTCATGTGGAGATTCTTAAACACCAATGATAAATTATAGCATTGCATTCTACAAAAGGTGGCAAGTAGCTACATCCATATATCATCAACTTAGATATAGGTCTCTATTGGTTCTTGGAGCACTCCAGCTTAACATGCAAATAACAAAAAAAAACATATGATCACAGTAGCAGGTGCTCCTTCAAGTATCAAAATAAACAAATGATGACAATGTGAATGAACTGAAATAGATTCAACATCACTCGCCAATTTTTAACCATAACAGCTCAGCCATAAACAAAGACAGGTTCTCCATTTGAATGGCATACTGGGAAACCTTTAGCACAGCTTTTTGGCAATACTCTGTCAAATCTCTTAATAACAGTGATAAGCAGCTGGATATAAAAATCTCATGTTCCAGAAATAACCACAGTTCCTGGAAGACCAATAATTTAAACCTTCCTCCAAGTAGCATCCAATTCCACCGTTAATAGAAGTAATTCACATTAAAAAAAAAAACTTAAATTCCCTTTTGTCATAGGGGGAATACACACTTCTACATAGAAGTAAATCTTCTTTTCTTCATTTTGTAACAAATTGTGTGCCATCTTTAAGACACTTGGAAGAGTTCATGCATATACTATTTGGTTTTGGACAGTTGAAAAAACAATTAGGAGGGTGGATCAAAACCCAAATATTTGTTTAGTAATATGAGAAAGACAAAGAAAACATATGAAACAGATAAATTATATATGGATATACAACTAATCATCATCCACGCAATGTATCTGTATCTAATAACATGCCATACACAGATCAATCAATCATGAAATGAAAAAACCACTTGAAACGATACAAAATCAAAAACGTAAAAACATACTTCAAAGCCAATTTACGGTAAGCGCTTTTGATTTGTTGATCTGTGGAGCTGCGAGAAACACCAAGAACCTCGTAAGGGTCTCTCCTCAATTGATTTTCTTCTCCATTTTTCTCAGATTTCGATCTATGAGCCGGCATTTTCAAGAATTTTGACAATCAAAAAACTCAAACTCGCCTAAAAACCCTAAAATGCCTCCAAGAAAAACGAAGCTTTCTTCACACAAAATTTGAAATTCCCAGAAATTTATTACGATAACGAAGAGGAAGAAGAAAAAGGCATTAACATTTGGAGAAACCCTTGCAAGATAGCGGATCGCAGCCCCCTTTGATTTGCTGGCAGGGCTCCCTCGTTGAAGGAGAAGATGTATAATTCTTTTTATGGGAAAACAAAATTAGAAACAAAGAAATGGAGGGGAAATTAGTTGGAACTCTCATGACATCCAAGTTCTAATCCTATTAAATGTTACAATATACGCCCTTCTTATTTTGAATATTACACTTTCAGTCCCTCTGTTTTCTTTGATGATTTTTCATCCCATACGATACAATTTGAGCAAAACCGAGTCGTCCCCAAGCAGAATCATTACCCGAAATATTGTCTATGAAACAATATACAAAAGAACAAAGCTCTAAATTGAATTGATTCCTGCAAATTGAATAAGAACACATAAATGTTACATCAAGAACTACTGATTGCACGTTTTACAAACACATAAAAGAAAAGGTATGATGTAATCTTCTAGCGTATCCCTACCATACTGGTCCTAGACATGACATTGTGGTTGTACTGTAGCCATTAGATGATTAGGGTTGATCCTAGACACCACCCACCTGCCTCTGGGATACAAATTACCTTCGGAATTTGAATACCACACTTCAGTTCCTCTGTTTTCTTTGATAAATTTTCATCCCATACGAATACAACGGTTTTAGCAAAACCGAGTCATGCCCAAGCATAATTGTTACTTAAAATTCATCTATCGAACAAGATACAGAAGAACGAACCCCAAGATTGAATTAATTCCTGCAAATTGAATAAGAACACAAAACATTACATTGAAGACTACTGATTGCACGCTTAACAAATACATAAAAAGGATATGACGTCATCTTCTAGCGTGTCCCCATCATACTGGTCCCCGACCTTGTAGTTGTAGACTAGCCATTAAGATGATGGATATCTTTGCAAAATGAATTAGATGATTATGGTCGACCCTAGACACCACCCACATGTTCCCTAGGACACAAATTACCTTGCTCATTATGATTATGAGACTGGTACGATAAGAGAGCTCCAGATGGCGGTGGCATACTCTTTTTCTTGCACGAGGTTTGACATCATGAAAACTTGGCAGCCATCACGATGAAAACTGAAGAGACAACCATTTACAAAAGAAATTGTAAAGAAAAAGGTGAAACTAACCCCTTCATAGGCCATGTGTAACTTCACGTTGAGGCAAGCTTGAATGACTAACAAATGATTGAGCACGTTGTCCCAAACCCGCTCATTTACCTCTTTGGTTAAGGCAGTGAAATGATATGCATGCCATATATCGGAAACTAATACTAATCAAAGAACGAATAAACTGCAAACTTTTAAATTATTATAATTTCTAAGTTCTTAGATATATAAACTCGAATATTTATAAATTTAATTTACATATATGTATTATATATATATATATATATATATAGGCCTATTCAAGGGAGAACTGAGTTGTTTGTGATAACTGTGAAAACCAATATTAACCACAAATCAATAGATAAATTAGGAAATTTATAAATTTGGTAATTTTAAATTAAAATCTTAATGCAAGGATATTTTTGGTATTTTAAAACTCTCCTCTCTCCGGCCACCGTTCTCCGGCCTCCGKCCACCGTCCTCCGGTGATACCACTATGATACCACTGTGATACCTAAAAATATTGACTCTGTTAGACAAAAGATACATTGTGATACCTAATCATATATAAGATGCATAGTGATACCACTTGTTACATCTTCGATCGATCATACAAACGACATCAATGTGATACCCAAGCACATATATGATGCATTGTGATACCATTGTAGTATCACCGGAGGACGGTGGCCGGCGAACGGTGGCCGGAGAGAGAAGAGAGGAGGAAGGAAAGTTGTAAAATACCAAAAATATTCTTGCATTAAAATTTTAATTCAAAATTGCCAAAATTATAAATTTCCTAATTTATCTATTGATTTGTGGTTAATATTGGTTCTCACAGTTASCACAAACTAATTAGTTCTCATTTGATTAAGCCCTTATATATATATATATATAGAGAGGAGTGATCATATGAAAACCGCCCTCATTTGTGTAAACCGTGCAAACCACCTTCATCTTTCGATTTCATTGTTTAATCTTATGAAATTTTTTCATGAAATTGTTTAATCTTGTGAAATTKTTTCATATAATACTTTTTTTGATGAAGTTGTTTCATATATGGTTGTGAAATTGTTTCATATAATAYTTAATGAAACTGTTTCATGTATTTCTCTAACATTAATGAAACTGTTTCATGTATTTCTCTAAAATTAAAATAATGAAGATGATAATATCTATGATTAACACCCTCCACAATAAAAATGATTAATCAACCTCTCATAATTACAAAAAAAAAATGAACAAAATGAAAAATTATGATTGGTTGAATGCGGTTTGCACGGTTTGTATAAATTGAGTGGTTTGCATTTGATCGTTCCCTCATATATATTTATATATATAAACAAATATAGTTGTGAATAATTTGACAATATAAAATAGCGATACGGTTATCGATGTAAATGGAGGGGAATGATAAATGTTGGATAATTCAATAAGATAGCAGCTTTTAAGAACAATGCCAAACAAGTACGTTTCATCAAATTTTCAAATCATTGCCTCGTGATACTTCAAGATGATGTTGCTAAAATAAAAAATAAAAAACCCGTTAAAACCGATGAAACTACGTTAAATTGAATTGTTTTTGACGGTTTAAGCAATCTTATAATAAAGTTTAGTTTGAAAAATAGCCGAAATTTTTGGTTCAGTTCGGTTTGTGGTTTCAATGTTTTCTCGAATAATTTGGATTGAACCGACCATGAAAATACACATAATGTTAGTTATATTTAAGTATTGTTTGGCAGTTGTTGAATGGTTTGGTGCAGAATGATTAAGTGGTCAGAATGATTAAGAAGCTTTTATAATATAGCGCAAAATGAAATCTAATTGTTTGGTAATTATTCAAAATGAAATTCAAGTGCTGAATGGTTAAGGGAGGTCCAAGAAACAAAACCATTTAGAATGTTTTAGAACCATTAAGAGATAGATTTTTTTTTGTCAAACAAGATTTATCTCTTAGCGATTCAGAGACTGCTTATTAATGAAACTATTAAGATGTAAACAAACAACCTCTTAGTTTTTATGTTGTAATCTCAACTTTTATGACTCAATTATAAAATAGTCTTTCCAAGACATTAAGTCTTTAGTTTCAATTGTCCATGATCCCTAAATCGACAAAATTCTGAAATTCATCAAAAATCATCGTTCAACTTGCTTAATATTTGTCCAAGATTCCAATTATAGTTGTTGGACTTCCTTAATGTTTTTTTTTTAGTCTAAAGCTGATGGTAGGTCCAAACGCCCTAAAATGTCCAGACCATACTGTCTCTTTATGGTTTGTTTTAACCAGTTTGGTCAATTGCTACGAAACTGCTCGGTTTTGAAAATTTCATAAACTGCCATTGCGGTTTGGGAGTTAAACCGCTTGAACCAGACCACAAGCACCCCTAAATATTAGCAAAAGCTCCAAAGGATAGGAAGGTATGAAATAAAGTATTTGATTATTTATTTCCATCATTAAATTAAATATGTACTCAGATATTGACTTATGAAATAGAGACGTAAAAGCATTTGTTATATCTTATTAAAGTTAAAACGTTTTTCTTTAAAGAGTTTGAGATGCTAAAAATAAAAACGTATGGGTATACAAGTAATTTCAAATATCAAAAATTAAAACAATAATGTAATCATAGTTAAGTGTAGATCATACTTTTTTTTAGTTTAACAAATTAATTTCAAAGTTTGATTAATATAATTATAGATTCAAAGTTATCTAGAAGGAGGTGATAAATTAATCCTTAAATGATTGCCCATACTTGATCAACTCTTGGTTTGCTTGGATCCTGTTTGAAAGAATATATAAATATATATATATATATATATATATATATATATATATATAGGGTTGGGTTCACGTGAGACCAGCCTGTTTTCGTGAGACCCGTGAGACCACATTTTTACACGTAAACTTCACAGCAAAAACGCTGTGAAGGTTTAAAAAAAGTCGAACCTTCACAGCAAAAACACTGTGAAGGTTTTAAAAAGTCACATTCACAGCAAAAACACTGTGCAAGGTTTAAAAAAAGTCGAACCTTCACAGCAAAAACACTGTGAAGGTTTTAAAAAGTTACCTTCACAGCATTCTGCTGTGAAGTTTCAAGTGTAAAATGCTGGTCTTACGGGTCTCACGAAAACAGGCTGGTCTCACATGATCCCAAGTCTATATATATATATATATATATATATATATATATATAGAGAGAGAGAGAGAGAGAGAGGAGTGATCAAATGCAAACCACTCAATTTGTACAAACCGTGCAAACCACCATCATCCGTCAATTTAATTGTTTAATCTTGTGAAATTGTTTCATATAATATTTTTTTTGATGAAGTTGTTTCATATATGGTTATGAAATTGTTTCATATAATACTTAATCAAATTTTAATGAAACTGTTTCATGTATTTCTCTAAAATTAAAATAATGAAGATGATAATATTCATGATTAATACCCTCCATAATAAAAATGATTAATCAACATCTTATAATTACAAAAAAATGAACAAAATGAAAAATTATGATTGGTTGAATGAAGTTTGCACGGTTTGTACAAATTGGATGGTTTGTATTTGATCGCTCCTCTGTATATGTATATATATATATATATATATATACACATGCAAAAGGTCGTGTGAAAATGAGAATGAAAGTGAGAAGCGTAAGAAGAGATCTGGACTCTTGATCTCCTTTAATGTCAAATCCACCATTGAATCATGCTTGATACGGGCATTGATCAAGTGCATCTCATCCTAATGTGCATCAAATGATGGAGATCACTTTTGATTCTTCTCACCTCAACTCTCCTTATATATATAAAGAGAGAGAGAGAATCGATTCTAAATGAGAATAATGACCAAATAAAAAAACACGAGAAATACCAAATCGCATGTGACGACTAGGTCGCCTGTGCACCCATGCATTAACCATGTTCTATAATCACATGCGACTTCAATGCAAAATCACATGCGATTTGACCGTTCTCGTCTTCTCTTATTTTGATCATGTTCTCGTTTAATAATCTCTCTCCCCACACCCACCCCCATATATATATATATATAAATAATTTGAGATTGTATCAAAGTAAAAGTTACGGTAAGCGTGATAAAACAAAACCTTAATCAACATCCAGTTACTTTCTTCGACTTATTTCTATCATTTTCATTAACCTGTTCCCATCATCTTCGTTAACCTATTTCTATCACCATTCATAAAACTAAACTTTAACAAATTCATACTTTTAAAAATGATTAAATATATGCAAAAAAAAACATCTGCGAATGTAAATAAAAATGAAGATTAGCATACATTAACATTTCGTATTAATCTATCTTAACTTATTTTAGCTTATGTTAAGTCTACTAATATTTAATTACAATATTTCAATAATTATCACAAAAAAATTATTTCTCACGCAATCCTATTTCAATAATATATATATAAAAAAAACTAATTTAAAATAAAATAAAATAAAATAATAAAGAAAAACCCATGAAAAAGAAAGGTTCCCTAATCTTTGGTTCTCTGCTAAAGAAACCCTAGTAATCAAGCAACATAATTGATACTAAATCATGTTTTTTTTTTTTTGCATTAATCAAGTACTAATTTTAAACCATTGGCTACCCACCGTACAATAAATAAATAAATAAATAAATAAAATAAATAAATAAATAAAATCTACTCCAATTCTTCATCATCCTCAAAAGATGATACAAAACAAATGTTTGAATATATATTAGTTTCAAGACCATACTAATTTACTTACATATGATCATGAGAAAAATCACGTGATTTTCTCAAGAAATCTGTTAGTTTCTCGAGATGCAAACATGGGTTTCTGGTTTTACATGATGGAGTTGGAGCTCAAACTCAGCTGAAGATCCAAACGTGCATAGTTTTGCTTCAAATCGATGGGTCGAGGTGAAGGTTTCATGGCAACAGGCCTATAGTTCTGTCTTGATCTATCTACATGCGTAAGAGTGAAATTACATGGATCTCTAAACGACAACAAATCATCGTCGTATTGACTAAAACTAATACTAGACTCGAACTCTGGACCATAATAACCATGAAAATCAACATTAGTCCCGTGTTTATTATGGGTATAGGGTTGGAGGTAGTAGTTGATCCGTGCCCTTCTTGCTTGTAACTGCAACCGTTTCTTCTTCAATCTTTCTTTCTTGTGCGCATTCTGATGACCTCCCAAGGCTTGCGAGTTTACAAACTCCTTGAAACAATACTGACACTCAAACTTTTTTATCTCTATTTGAAGATTCTTTTCCATCGTTGTTGTTGTTGATGATGAATTTACGCTTTCGTCCCCTTCCACTGACCTCAAATGGTTGGTTTTGAGGGTACCCGGATGCAACTCAAACCCAAATAACCTTACTTTTTTCTCGACACATGTTTGTGTCGAGTGCTGGTCACTCGCTTCTCCTTCTTCCCACGTCGATGACAGAAGATCAGAAGCAATTTTCCCCATTTTCTTGAAAATGTATGTTGTAAATTAGGGTTTGAATTTGATGTACCAAAATGGGGTATTGCTTCTCTTCCCTTTTATAGGAACTAGAAAAAATGGTTCCTTTTTTTTGTTATGGTGTTTTTTTTATAAATGTGTACATCATGCATTATTATTTAAAAACATGATGAAAGGTAGAGAATATAATTATAAAATAAAATAAAATAAAAAAAGAAAGAGAGAGGAAATAGTCAAGATAGGGGGAGGAAGGGCGTCCAAAAGCAATATTTGTTGAAGATCTCCTCCACCTAAAGTAGGAGACACACCTTAAATTATGAGTTTAATACCACTTAAAAAAAAGGCTATTTTTTATTTTTAAAATTATTTTTTCAATTTATATATTTTCCCAAAAAATAATATTTAATATTATACATTACAAATAAAACCAAAAAAGCATATCATATATTTCATTCGAAAGTAT